AGTTGGGTTGGGTTGAGTTGAATTGGATTGGGTTGGATTGGTTTGAGTTGGGATGGATTGGGTTGGGTTGAGTTGGGTTGGGATGGATTGGGTTGGGTGGCTGCTGGAGCCTCATGTCAGAGACAGGAATAAATTGTAGTGGAAGGTGTCCCTGCCCATGGCAGGGGGTTGGTCTTTAAGGTCCTTTCAACCCAGACAATTCCATGAGTCTTTGATTCTGCACAACTGGTTTGGGTCTGACATTTTTTGTAGCAGAATTGAGGGTTTTTTCCTTAATTTGGTTGGAAGGTTTAAAGAACTAATTAGAAAAACATGCTTGCCTGATTTTTATGGGTAGCTCCTAATGATGCTGGTTTGAAATGTCTGTCAGGGAAGGATAGTTTGAATTTTACAAAGCCAATTTCAGTAGCAGGCCACAGTTGCAGATATTCCAATGTTTTTAAAAAGCTGTATATTTTTATTCCTTTTTATTTCTAAAAACGTGCTGCTGCAGTTGGTCCCTGTGTGCATAATTACCCTTTATGATTCTGCAAATATTATATCTAACAGTAACAACACAATTCATTCTGCAGCATAGAATCTCACTTTATTGTAAAACTTTACTGGCATTAGTGAGTTGTATTGTTTATTCAACAATGATTTGTGTTTATAAAAATAGAAATCTCCTAATTGCTTTCCAGGCAGAAATATTTCAGTGGAGTGATTTGTTGTTCCCGTGTTCTCTGTAAGAACAGGGTTTGCTGGTGGGATGAGTGGTTTGGGTGAATGTTGGTGTCAGGACTGGAGGAGGATCAGCTGGGTCTGAATCCAAACCTCCTCTTTACAACCCTGCAGCACTTGGGCTCTGTTGGGGACAAGGAAGTACAAGGGGAGTTTCCCTCTGGCTTTTCTCAGGTTAGGCAGAAAACAAAATAATTCATCTTCTGATTCATTTAATGAACTTGTTCCGGTTGTTGCTGTTTCTGGCTGAATGGGATGAGTGTAAAAAGGACAATATTCAGAGATGTGGTGACAGGAACTGTGGTTTGGCTGGGAATGGAATCCCTCAAGGTCTGTGTGTGGTGTTTGGGTACCTGCTGGGGGAGTTTTCCCTTGCTCACTGTTACACAACTTTTAAGCTGTTAAGTCCTTGTGTGTCTCCTCCTGCTCCTGGTTCAGCTCCCAAGGACAATCCCCTGGGCAAGCCCAGGGCAAAGCAGGTTCCTGAAGCCCAGATACATCCTCATCCCATTCCCTATTGCAAGGACAGAGCTCCTGCCTTGGGCAGAAGAGTCTGAGAATGCAGGAATCCCTGAGCATTCCAACGGGCCTGTTCCTGCACTTCCTGTGCTGGGAAGATCCATTTGGGGTTTGTTGGCACTGAGGTCCCAGCACTCCAACAGTCTGGGGGTGGAATAGGTGCTCCCCACCAGCAAGTGGATTTCTCCTGAGCCTGAAAGGTTCCTGTCAGTGCTTTCAGAGGCAAAGCTTTAGCTGCCCATGGGGGCATCAAAAAGGCAGCTCAGCTGAAAGCAGAAATACTGCAGAGACTGCAGGGTTACAGACTTGCAGCCTTGTGGGGGTTAAATTATCTTGTGGGTTTTTTTTATCTTTTGAAAGGTTAAATTGTTGGTGCTTTCTTCTCTCAGAGAGGTCAGGCTTGATCCCCCACTTGTCTGCTCAGTTAGGGATTCCTTGGCACAGCTTTTGGGGTCACCAGTAAGGAAACCCCACGCCTGGAAGTGTCCAAGGCCAGCTTGGACAGGGCTTGGAGCAACCTGGGATAGCAGAAGGTGTCCCTGCCCGTGGCAGGGGGTGGGACTGGGTGAGTTTAAGGTCCCTCCCAAGCCAGACCATTCCATGATTCCATGATCCCAGCACTGCAGCTTTGTGGGATCTTTAGGGGGCTGTGTGAGCCTGGTGATTCCAGCACATCTCCATGTTACAACTCAGATGCAAACAACCATCCAAACCACTCCTGGAGGCATCATCTTCTTGAGGGAACCATTTGTCTTCCTTCTTGTATGGACAAGGAACATCCAGGCAGACCTGGAGTGAGCAGAGGAGGGAGGACAAACAATGCTGAGCTTTGGAAGGGAACAAGACAAGGACTTGACATTTGAAAATTTAAGCCTTTGCCTTTCCAACCAAAGCCTCCCTTTAGGTCCTCTGTTCTGGCTTCAGTCTGAGCCCTGGATTTGCAGACCAAGCAACAGTGAGAACTTACAGAGCCTGTGAGTGACCCCGTGCCCTGACTGCAGGAGCACAGACTTTACCCTGAGATCAGCCTTCCTTTGCCCTTCACATAAACAGTTTCTGTCCTAAGCTGTCTCTTCAAAATGAAGCTTTTCTCTTGTCAAAAATACAAGCTGCAACATTCTCTTCTTACCCCAAAGCAACAGCAGTCCAAGGGTGTGCCTCAGGGCAGGGGGATCTCTCCTGATTGCTTTATTCCCTTTTCATTTTTAATAAAGAAAAGCATCAGGTTTCTTCCTTTTAGCTTTAACTTCCCCGTGTCCCACCAGATGTCACTGGCACAGGGTGGCACTTGGTGCTGGCACGTGCAGGCTGGGCCCGTGTCAGAGGGGACAGGGGGGAGGTTTGTCACGTTCCTGGTGCTAAACCTGGTTGGTTGTGCATTTACAAATTGGCTCTTTGTTTCTCAGCTGAAATTTGATTCATGGGAAGCTTTAGCAGGGAACTGAAGAATGAGTTACAGAGATGGAAATGTAATTAATTATCAGGTGTTTTCCTTGCTTCCCTGAAATAATTCTCCTGAACCAAGCAGCGTTAAGAATAAGGCTGCTCGAGTTCATCCAGGGGGGGGTTCCATGATTCAGCTTATTTGAGGATTCCTGGGCAAAAATGGTGCTGTTCCTGCTGGAGCCTCAGGCAGGAAGGTGTTCATGGGAATGAGAGGGCACTTTGGTGAGCTGGGGTGAAGGTTTGATTTCTGCCTTCCTTTGTGGCTTCCGTGAGGTCCCGAGTGACCAAACCACGTGTGAGCTGCTTCTTCACTGCCCCCAGCAGTGGCAGGTGCTGCTCTTTGAACATTCAGATCACTGCAGTCCAAAACACTTCTTTCCTTGAACAGAAAAGATGTTAAAAGGATCAATACTGGGCAACCTGAACAGACAGGGGTTAAACCCAACCTCACATATTCAAACATGTTTATGTTTAAATACACACAGGATGTTGGTTCACCATTCAGTTCCTCGAGACAGAACTTTTTTTAGCTGATCTAATTAATTCTTCAGGAAGAATCTAGAAGATTCTAGATCAGGAGGAATTTCTTCATGGAAAGGGTTGTCAGGCCTTGGAAGGGGCTGGAATCCCCACCCCTGGAGGTGTCCAAGGAAGGACTGGCCGTGGCTCTCAGAGCTCTGAGCTCAAGGTGGGGAAGGGGCACAGGTTGGACTCGATCATCTTGAGGGGCTTTTCCAACCTAAATGGTTCTAAGCAGAGGAATTAAATTTACCCAGGAACTGCTCTCCAAGTTTTGAGAGCTGCTGGTGAAGTTTTCTTCAGCTTTGAGTGCGTGGGGTCCCAATTTCAGCAGCTTGAGCTGAATAACAACGGGTGGCTCTGTTTGGAGCTGTTTTTCTGGAAGGGCTCTGAAGAGGCTTTGAAGCCTCACTGGGGGGAGGAGGATGTGCTTTGTGGTTGCTTCCTCTCAGTAGGTACAGGTAGAAGCAGGTCATTCCTGCCTGTGGAAAAATCCATCTTTTCTGGGCATTTGTGGTGCTCTTCACTTTTTCAAAGGAAATTTTCGAGATTTTTGCCTTAGGAAACCAAATGCATATTTAATGCAAACCTCCAGGTTTTGTTGGATCACCTAGGAAACAACAGATTCTCTTTTTTTTTTCTTCTTCTTAGAATAAGGCTTTTCTTCCCACTTTTCCCTTGTCACTTGTGGCACCAAGCTCCCTTGAGAGGAACAGCTCTTGAAGGCTGATGCCCTGCGGTGTCCAGAGGCTGCTGACAGAGACCTGAAAAACTTACTTGGAGATTTTCCAGCTCTAGGCCAGACCTTCATTTCCCCCATAAGCTTGTCAGGAAGCTTAAATTAGGGCTGATTCGTATTTGGATCAACAAGATATAAATACAAAATGCCCAGAAGGTGCAGAGAACACAATGCTGGGAAGGGCTGTTCTCCAGGAGGGAATGAGCTGTAGCTGAGAACATAAGGCCTGTCCTTACTCCTACAAACACAACAGTGGGTTTGCAATGTGTCTGAGTCCTTTCTGGGTCTGCTCCCCAATGTGACAGTTTTTCCCTAAATTTGTAGCTAAACCACAGCAGGTTTTATTGACATAAATAAGCTGTAGCTGCATGAGGCACCTGAAGCCAAGTGGTTGCTTGGAAAGAGCTGAGAGGGCAGGAGTTTGGGAGCGATGAGAATGTGC